TAAACCAAATTCAGTGATAATTTGTTGTATTTTCGCAAATATACATTGGCTGTTGTAAATCTTTGTTGCCAAGGGCGGTACCCATTTTTGATGCCCATTATATAATTTTTGTTTATTGAAATCCACGTGTTCAAGTGTCTATAAAACAGACATTGGTTGATGAAAATTTCACATATTTTAGTATTTACTGTAGTTTAATGATTCTTTACCATTCATTTTTAATGCAGTGTCTCGAATAGCCCTTGTTTTCCAGCTTCTCACAATGAACTATGTGATAAATATTGGTCACATAAACTGTTATTAATTCATTAAAGATTCAATAATGAGAGAAAGCCAAACTTAATATCATATGATTTCTATGTCATCGAGCTAATGACATTATTTACTGAACGTCACTAGTAAATAAAAATATATGATCTTTTATGTCATGTTTTGTTTTGTTTTACGGAGCACGGATTATAACGCCTAATTACCTAAAGCAGCGTTACATTTCCTCTTTGCGAATAAAAAGTTTGATATAACTTAAATTCAGGAATCTCATTGATATACATTAATTTTCCCTTTATTTAAATTGACAGCGTATATGATTCACTAAATCATAAGTAAAGAATCGTGTAAGAACATACCTTTTTGTCTTTTTCCATGGAGTTGAAGAGTAGTTACAATTTTCGAAGGAACTGTGTACTTCTCATGTATTCTTCCACAACTCCTTCCAATTTTCAGAGAGCCAGTTGTTAATCCAGTTTTGGTTCTGAGTTTAAAACTGGTTTTCGAAAACTAACGAGTCGATTCCGATTTATTAGCACTGATTTATGAAACAAGTATCATAATTTCCATGCCTAGATGCATCAAACAAAATGAATTTTCTTTTCTTATTAATGGGATAAGTGAATAATATGACTAAAACTCGGATATAAAAACGTCACTGGGACATTAATTGAATTTATTTTTTTAATAACGGATTGTTACAACCACTATTGAAATAACGACCACTATTGAAATAATTATATCAATAGTGGTTGAGAGTGCATTTCAATAACAAATATAGCATGCAACCACTATTGAAATACGACCACTATTGAAATAATTATTTCAAATGAATAGTGGGTGAGATTCATTTCAATAACAAACATAGGTTGCAATCACTATTGAAATAATGTTCACTTTTGAAATAAAGATTTTAATATGGATTAAATTATTGATTTCAATAGTGCATTGAACAATGAATCCAATATATTAAAATAGTTATTTCAAAAGTTGCGGACGCGGTGAAATTTTGCTTTTAATATTGGTATTATTTTAACAGTGGTTGAAACCTATGGTTACCATATTAAAATGCACTCTCACCCACTATTAAATAATTATTTCAGTAGTGCTGGTATTTCAATACTGGTTGAAACCTATTGTTATTATATATAAATGCAGTCTCACTCACTTTTGAAAAAAAAAAATTTCAATAGATTGATTGATTGATTGATTGTATATTGTTTAACGTCCCTCTTGAGAATTTTTCACTCATATGGAGACGTCACCGTATGCTGGTGAAGGGCTTCAAATTTAGACCTATACTCGGCACTCAGGGCCATTGAGCAGTGAGGGTTCTTTATCGTGCCAGCGCCTACCGTGACACGAGACCTACGTTTTTAAGGTCATATCCGAAAGACCCGTGACTTTCACTTCTAGTGCCGAGCGCTTGGCGAAGGAACAGTCAATACCTTTGTTTACGTCTTAGGTATGACGCGGCGCCGGGAACGAGAATCGAACCCGGGCCTCCCGATCACGAAGCGAACGCTCTACCACTAGGCTACCGTGACCGGTAAAAATTTCAATAGAGGTTGTATTTCAATAGTGGTTATTACCTATGTTTGTTATTGAAATGCTCTCTCAACCAATATTGATCGATGTAATTATTTCAATAGTTGTTGTATTTCAATAGTGGTTACTATGTTTGCTGTTGAAATGCACTCTCAACCACTATTGAAATAATTATTTCAATAGTGGTCGTATTACAATAGTGGTTACTAACTATGTTTGTATTGAAATGCACTCCAAACCACTTTTGATATAATTATTTCAATAGTGGTCGTTATTTCAATAGTGGTTGCAACAACGGATATTCTATTGTAAAATCACAAATTTTCGTGAGGGTTTTTTTTTTTTTTTTTTTTTTTTGGTTCTTTTTTTTTTTTTTTTTTGGTTTTCGACGCATGGAGAGATCCACGATTTTATTTCGGTTACACAGACCATACAAAACTACACACATACTAACGTCACACATATATAATCGCGTTATATTCTCCTCAAATTCCGTTGCGAGGGGATGATGAAAAAAATAAAACGATAAAATGGAAGAATCTACAAGTATTGTAAATTCAATTGTTTGGCAATTCTCGTTGTACTTTGTCACAGTTCTTTCACCATTCTTTAGTCAGGGCACACTCAGACCCACAGATTACATGCATGTCTGTTTTTTCTAAAGAGAACTTGAATATGAACATCTCTTCAGCAACTAATATAATTTGAACACATTATTTAGTTTTGCTTGCTTCTTTTATATATTTATCAATGTTCAGAGCAACATCATGAGAACTGCCTAAGATACTGAGTTTAAAAGAACACACAAGGATGCAAAGGGTCCAGAAAACTAAAGCTCATCTAGTAAGAAGATACTAGTAATCAAAACAAGAGCACATTGTTCCTATTCAAGGTCATCTTCATTTGCTACCCATTAATTTTCGTCCACTATATAAAATCTTGACATGTGTTTATTTATCGTTAAACTGGTTAGCTCCAGAATAAAGTATAATATTTTTTACTTTGAATAAGCAGGATAGAGTCGAAATATTTAAATACCGTGAAATTTAAATACTGTGAATAAAACGGGATGATTTTTAATATTTTGTTTTGATTATGACCCATTTCATGAATAGAAATCTTACTTGAAAGTGAATAAAAGATATCTATTTATATTGAATGTTTCTCTAAAGAGTTGGCCGTCACGGTAACATAATCGGTAATGTGATCTTTTCAGAGGCTGTGTGTTTGAATTATACGTCTCCGACTGATTATAAATGGGGTGTGACTGTTCCTTTTCCATGCGCTCGGCACTCTCAGTTGCAAGTGCAAATTACGGGTCATTCGAATAAGATCTTAATGACCAAGCCCCTATGTCAAGGTAGGTGTTACGAGTGCAGAATTCCCAAACAGGACATAATCAAGATACAATCGAGCAATCTAACAACAAGTGAAATGTACATGAATGTGGGTAACATTTAGGAGGTTATTATACCATGCTGTTTTATGTAAATGTACATTTACAGATATTTTTTCTATATGTGGAATACTAATAAAAAGTCCAACAAAAAATGTATATTGCAACAGTCTCAAAATTTTATTGTTTGCTGACCTGCTAATCCAACATAAGATTGTTAGACCACAACGTCACCGTTACTTTATAAGTCATTTATCGTCGTTTAAAATCGGTCACACGGAAACAACCGAAGTTTAGAGCCACAAGAGTTGTTGTATCATACTTTTTAAAATCACAGAGACACTGGAATAGTTTTGTGATAATTGAATTTTGTGACATAATTATCCTATTATAAATTTTACATTCTCTACTATTGCTTTATTTTTAATGTACCAGCCAAAAAGTACCATATAAAGTAATTGATAATATTATTTTCATTTTAGTGTTTTACCTGAAATTAATTGTATAACAAAACAGTTATAAACTAGGATTCGGGCAGCATATGATTTGTTGGACCTGATTTCTTGGACCTTTGTTGGATTTGTTGGAGTAAAAATAATGCCTTTGGCCTTGGATATTTCTACTTTCAGGTCCTATAAAGCATGTGGTGCCCTCATATCGAGTCAATACATGTAACTGTATCACATGTTTAAAATTGAATAATTTAATTTTATTTGTATTCTCGCCTCTCATTGGTTGATTTCCAAAAAGGAACGCATAACATTTTGTATAATCTGGTTTGGTATGGGGACACACCCCCTTGACGACCAGCTTAATCATCATATCCATGCAATCCCCTCATTTCCAGTCCTCGGAATCCATGGAAAATTCCAGATTTAATAAATGTACCTTCAACTATAAACAATTACTCGTTCTTACCTCATGTAAACAAACATCATGGCTGCTAGATCTATGTATCAGTTATTACCTCCCCTCGCTTCAAATATCACTTCCGTTACTACGATTGTATTATTGCGCGGTAAATTTGAACTTATAAAAAGCAACACAATTTTACATCAAAAGTTGTTTAATTATTTTAAAATTAAATTATAAGGAATGACTTTAATTCTTGGCCATATTAACGAGTATAATCTGGTTTGGGTCAATTTACGCTTTTTTATAATCCGCTTCGCGGATTATAAAGCGTAAACTGACCCAAACCAGATTATACTCGATAATATGGCCAAGAATTAGAGTCATTCCTTAAATATTACTTGAATGGTTTTAAATATTAGAAAAAATTAAGTGAGAAAACCTATTTGATAAATTCCAGGAAAATGTACCTGTGTGAAGATTATATGAATTAGTTTCAAATGCAAAGAAGATAAAAACTAAAGAAACTAAAAATATGATAAGAATATGGAACGCTTATTGTGACAGGAGCACAGCAAAGCGAGAAATACCATCGCAAAAACCATATATCAGCAATCGACATTGATTCAGATATCAAATTACGACAATTCCGTTTCGCACATTATTAAATCACCCACACACCCAAATACACACAATACATTACTTTATCCCCTCTAACTCCGTTGTGAGGGTTTAATAATTATAAAAATGAATATCTCTAATTCCGTTATGAGGGGATAATATATATAAAATGAATACCTTCAACTTCGTTGTAAGGGGATAATAATTCCAAAAATAAATATCTTAAAGTTGTTTTAATTCTTTATTGAAACTGAGTTGTAGCGAGTACTTTAGTGCATGATTGTTGAACAAATAATTTTGAAGAGAAATAAGAATGTTTTCAAAAACTTCATTTCAAAAGTTAGCAGGGGCATTTGTAAATGTGCATGGTAAATTTAAACGAAATGTTTTATGTTAGGTACATGACATTTGTATCACACCTAAAAGAGTTACACATATGGTGGCAAAAGATCATCAGTTTCAAAAATGCACGCAATTATAATGCATTATATGGAACTGTATAATTTATGTTAACAAAATTATATTCAAAAACTAAAGCAACATTCACTTTTCCTTAGGAGTTGCTTCCTCCACATTTCTCTTTAAAAGTATCTTCACGTTAGACTCTGTAGCAGAGAACTTCTCCTTCAAGGTGCTTATTTCCCCTTCAATCTTTTGGATGTCGTCTTTTGTTGCCATTTTCTTTAAAATGTAATCGAGTTTAGCTGACAAATCGGAAACCCTTTCTCCTTGAGTCTCTTTCTTAACGAATTTTGACAAACAATTAAATGGAAGATCAAGTGCTTCAAATACTTTGTCTATGGGTGTCATCAAGCAAGTTCCATGGGACGTTTTCGCGACGGCTAATCCTATACATTTGAGGACTACGGGGTTTTCTTGCGATATAAAATAAACAAACGACCCAGAATCTCCGTAATCTAAAAACGGTTCTCTTGAATCAGACGTTTGAGAAAGATCGTATTGAGGAATAACTTCCATTTGCTTGTAAAGCGTTGTAGAAAAATTGTTCCCTACTTCTACTTCGTAATCATGTATTCTTGCACTACTCCTCCCAATTTTCAGAGAACCAATTGTTAATCCACTTTTGGCTCCAATCTTTAACACTGGTTTTCGAAAATTAAATTTCTTGATTTGTTCCATTTCCCCATTTTCAAACTGTGGCATATTGTTTTCAGAAAACCCTATGAAAAACAAAATTTATGCGATACGTTAGTGTGTGTGGGGGGGTGGGGGGTATTTTGGAAAAAAAAAACATGCTCAATCACAAACCATGGGTGACTAAATATACATATGAAAATATACATTTACATCTGTATATGATATATAAATATTTAATTTTTGTAATATTTATTGTGACGTAACAAATGATTAATATCAAATAAATTTTAAAATGTATAATAATCAAATTGAGAATTATGTGATGACATTTTGTAATGTAGAACTGAATTTCTATATTAACTTATTTGATATTTACAGCACTTGCCTGTCTCCATTATTTGTTCGGAACTGAACACTGGTGCAAAGTTTCCATCACACGGATATCGATACTTATCAGTAATTTCAACTAAAGCAGCATCTATGCTAACTTCGCTTGCTTGTCCATGTTTGAATTCAGCTTTATGAACTTTTCCAAACTGCATCCCGTTTCTATCCACAACATTAATCTCTCGCCTCCGTGCATACACACAGGTTTCACCATTCTTCAGCACATCAACTGGTAAAACGACATGTGCACACGTAAGGAAGGCCTGTCTCTCTGGATTTTGCAATGTTACAAAACCACCAAGAGTCCCAGTCCTTTCAGTTCCTTCGGTTCCAATCCTTTCACTTATTCGAGCCGGATTTACCGCGAAATGACACACAGCTTCACGGACGTCTACTCGATGACCACCGATTCTCCTTGGAAAAGCATCCTCTCCAGTTGGTATCACTCCTTTGATGTGGCAATGGATAACTATCGAAGGAATCATTTCTATTCTTGCGTTACTGTTGTAACCAATGGAACATACATTAGATGTATTTATCAATGTTATATTGCTATGTTTGCTAAAAAGGGAACTTAATTCAAAATCTGAAAGTTTGATACTTAAAGAGCCGATAGAATCATTTATATCATGAATCAACACTGATGATGCTTCATCGCTACAGGTGTCAAATAATCGCACAATTATTTTAAGTCCCCATATTTCATCGCCTAGGTTGAATGATTTTGAAGTTCTTGTCACGAGTACTACTGTATCAATTCCTCGGGATGTTTGGTTTTGTCGACCTACCCATATATGCATAATATCACTTTTATTTTCGATACTTTTTAAAATTGTACTTTTCAATTTATCTATAATGACACTGCTAGCCAAACATTTCTCAGGATTCCCTGTGCAGAATTTCTTACAAATACATCTCATTTCCTCTGCAGTCGCATCTAACAAAGATTTTTCTATTTTTATTCTATCTTTTTCTCGAATTCCTTGTCGAATTAGTTTTGCAACATCTTCTAAAATCCCCCTTTTCCAGTCACTTCCCTGCTGACTGAAATTGTTTTTATCTTTTCTGAAGTTTGTACCGTGAATGGAACTCTCGTCTAATGAATGCGGTCGATTAAAATTTTTCTTAGGATGAACTATTTTCTCCTCGTGAAAATGTTCCAGGGAGTTTGTGCGTTGTAAAGGTTTTCTCGGCTGCAGATTTGACACAAATCTACGTAATATATCCATGAATATCGTTTTTGAAAAGATGATAGTGATTTTTTATCTCTCTGAAAATCCACTTCCGTTTGTCTCTGATCATGGGGACGTATCCACAGATCGGGTGCTCTGTCATTGAGAAACATTTAATGTTTTACATGTATCTTTGAGATGTTTGATGATAAATTTAATTTTGTCTGACGAGTAGTGATGACAACAACAAATTTGAAAAAAAAATATTGAAAGAATATAACGTTTGTGAAAATTATCCCCTGTATGCTCTATTAGAAAATTTATTACCCCAGAATATTCTTGAACTGTATGGCAATACCGGTATATTATGCTGCTGTTCAGCTGAAATCCTAAACTTCGGAAGTTTTATTAATCTACAAAAAGAAAATCAAGAATATAACATATAATCAATAGCTTTGAACATTTTTTTTCAAACAATATTTCTAACAAAATACATTGTATTAAATACAAAAGTCCATGTATAGATAACATTATACATTAATTTCATGTATAGAAATATATACCGGACAAAAAAAGTTAAGGATCATCAAATTAAATATGTTTTACAAATACTGTATCATGGAAAACAGAATGCAGTTTTAATTTTAGTATCAAATTTTATATTTAAAAAAGGTAAAAATTAAACATTGAATGTGATAAATTTGTTTGAACACAGGCTACGAATTGATCATTACGGTCACTTTAGAATTCGCCTTGATAGGGGTATACCTGAAAATGATTTTTTTTTTCCAGAAGAGTCAAATTACTAAAAGCGGAGTAAGACGTTTTTGACGTAACGCATTGTGACGTCGGCAACTTAAGTTATAAAAATGGATTAAATCATCTTTTACCCTATTAAACGACTTGATACAAATATAATTCAATTATTCAAATGTAAATTCATTTTCACATGAATAATGTATATTGTAAATATTATTATCATATTTAATATTTCAAAGATTTGCGTAAATTGTTATTTGTGTGCTTAGTCTTTGATATCAAGAAACGTTAGTTTTCTTCAACTTTGTAAACTTGAAATTATCTTCTGCCAGATAAAAAATGTCTTAAAAGTTAAATGTAATAAAAGTTTTCTGTAAATATGATTATATCTACGACATTACCTTTCAGTCTTGTTCCCGGGTTTTAACTAAATGAAAAATATAACAAAAACTGTACAAGGAGGTACAAGGAAACTTTTCAAGTAATTTCTCATGTGCACTTACATAAATTGACACTTTAAAAGACGGAAGATTTTGTTGTCTATTTTGTTATGTCGCCTGAAGAGCAAGGCGACTTTACGCGGCTTCTGTTCATTCGTCTGTGAATTTTATATTTTGCTTATTTAGATGCTGGCACTATGGATTTTGTATTTCACTATGGAAACCGAACTAGTTATACTTGAACTTGACCTTTGACCTTATTTTTGAAATAGTTTCAAATACACATGTACTATGAAAATACATTGGGAAAGTATTCTATTATGGATGGTGTTGAATCATTTACAATTGTTGTTGGGACAGACTGATGTCTCTTTTGAAGGATTGTTTCAAACCATGTACACATTTAATAATTTATAATAATTAAAGGATTTAAAACTTTACTAATACGTGTATCCGTTTTAGCTTTGAGTAGTGAGGTCTTGAATTTCTATTTGATAACCAGATTCTAACGTAGTCTTTATCTGGAACTTTTTATTTGTTGCATGAACTTACTGCTATGTGTAGTAGGAAATAAATAGCCGATGACGTCTTTTAGATTTATTTACATCTTTACTGAAACTAAAAGAGGCGACACTTGCGTTGGAACACTTTAGTTTGTGTGATAAATACTCATAAAATACAAGATCCGATCAAATAAAGTCCGTTTGACGACGGAAAGTATACAAGGAGAACTAAAAAAAATCTGCTTTCATTAAGTTTTTTTGTCAAGAAATTAAAAAGCGTCATTTAGTTATCTTTAAAAAGTTTCAAAAATGATATATATGTGTTCATTACGTGAACGTTACTTTATTTGTTTTCACAATCCACCGGAGTCTTAAGAAACAAAAAAATGTTTTTTGTAATTTATATTGGCTAACTGCCACATATGTTCCAGAAAAAAAGCTTCCACAGAAAACTAAAGAGTCCCTATGCAGCCTTTACATTGCATTCCCTGTTGCTTATACATATTATACTCTTCAGAATTTTAGTGACACATTGAACATAGAGGTTATTTAGTAAAATGATGTATTGATAATACAGAAATGTGGTTTACAATAGAAATACTGTCTGAATGTCATAATTAAAAAAGGGTTTTAAAATCCTAGACAGTTTAAGCTAATTAAAGATCAATATCTGGTATGCCCCCCACAGACACAAATGATAGCCAAAAACAGCATCTTATGGAAGCAAGTGTGTGTAATAAAAACTGCATGGGAATGCTCTCCCTCTCCAAATGTAAAACTTTGGACAGCTGTAGCAGAGTCTGAGGATGCGATTATCTTTGATAAATCATGCCTATCCAGTCCGTCCATTGCTGCTCAATTGGGGTTAAATCTGGCCTTTTAGATGACTATGGCAGAAACAGGTTGTTGTTGCTTTGCAAGAATGGGAGTGTCAAACAATCCGTATGTTACTATGTATTGTCAAATTAAACTTTGACTCTAGAATGCGGTAAAATTGATTAGGCATGTGCAGGTAGAAAATCGTAAGAGTACCTTTTTCTGTCAAAGTCCTTTGAATACGAACCATATTAGTCTTACTTTTATGCGATACCATTTTCCATATCTTCACACTACCACCACCATTTTTGTAACGTCCTTGAGGCAGTTTTCTGTCTTACGTTCACTACGAAGCCATAGCACTTTTAAATTTATAAAACGCTTTCCGAAAAACATTATGGACTAATAGCTCAACCAAAATTTTTAGTGCTGATGCTCTGGTCATACTCTATTGATCGGAAATCTTTGAAGCCGATATTTGGGGCGTTGTGGGGTCAGAACAATGGCATGAATAATCCTATTGCAATAATTCATAGTCAACTGAAAACAATCTTGTTAGATGGTTTGTGCAGTTAAGGAATAGCTAATGCTGTAGATGACGTCATTGTGTTACATTCATGAAGTTTACGTAATGCTCTGAAGTTATGCTGTGCTGCTGATGTCGCATACTGGACAACAAAGTTAAGGATCATCAAATTAAATATGTTTTACAAATACTGTATCATATAAAATAGAATGCAGCTTTAATTTTAGTATCATATCTTATATTTAAAAAGTGAAAATTAAACATTGGATGTGATGAACACACGATGCAAATTGTTCATTACGGTCATTTTAGAATTCGGCATGTTGGTGGTAGAACTGAAAATGATTTTTTTTTTCAGAAGAATCAAATTACGTTACTTAAATGTTTGCCAGTATTTTGTATGACCTCCCTGCGAGGCCTTGCAGCGCAGACCCATGCTGCCCATCAGCCGTCCAAGGCTAGTCTGAGGGATTTGTTGCAATTCCTCCTGCCACGCTGTCTGTAGCTCCCGTCGATTTTGAGGAAGTGTAAGACGAACTTAAATGCACTGCATAAGAATGTTCCAGGCATGTTCAATTAACTTCAGGTCTAGAAAACGATTTGACAGGTCCATATGCTAAGTTGTTTCACTTTCCATGTACTCGTTTACGATTCGGACTCTATGAGGTCGAGCACTATCGACAATTAAGATGAAATCCTCCCCCAGAGTACATGCAAAAGTCTAATTATAGGATGAAGAATATCATTTAGGTACAGTCAATTCTCGAATTATCGCCATTCGATTCATCGCCATTTTCGCAATACCGCCATGATTTCCCAAGAACGTTTTTCCTGCTATATAAAATTCTCTTTATAACGCCAAATTCGCATACCGCCATCCGCCACCCTGTTTTCACAACAAACGTCCATTTTTAAGTGTCAATTATCTCGATATACCGCCACAGGTGCATGTGGTCAGTGAAGCTCGGCTAATTGGTTGACGCTATCCCTGGTGTTAAGCATGCCAAGCCAGACAAGGTACATGCAATTAAATAATCAATTATAAATTAAATAAACAATAATTTTAACATGAACTGTTATATTAAAAATTGTTTTCTATTAAATAAAAATTATTTAATCACGGCCATGCCTTGAAAGCTGTCGTTGTAAAAGCACGCCGATAACGATATTATTTTAATGATCTCTGCTTTAAACAATAAAAATTTGCTTTAAAAATAAATATACGGTATAAATTCTGGACGTTTCATTAACAATGATGCCATTTACAATGAATTTATTCAAGAATTCATTTTACGTACTATCGGCAATATCTTACGACGATCGACCCAGCATGTTTTTTTTTTCAATATCAGACTGCAGATTTACATGCACACACATATACTTGTCTTTATTTCATAACTGCACATTTTGTTTTAGCTAAACTGTACATAAAAAATTACTTGAAGTATTATCAAATTAAGGAGTATGTATAATTTTATATACATGAACTTAATAATACGAATAGAAACGCGAACGGTATTGTTAAGAACGGTAACTCTACTTCTTGTTTCCAAAATGATGGAAAATTCAATTCATCGCCAAATTCGTTATACCGCCATGATTTCTGAATTACAAAAGGTGGCGGTTTATCGAGAATTGACTGTATTTTAAACCTGTCAGGTTGCCTTCAATAATGTGCAGATGAGTTTTGCAGTCAATACTTATGCCTGCCCAAATCATCACCATACCTCCATTTACTCTGTATTGCTTAGAAATGACACAGTCAGCATATTTTTCTTCATTTGCAATTGCAATCCAAACAAGTCTTCTGTCATCGTGGAAGTCAAAACAAAATTGGGATTCGTTTGAAAAGAGAACAGAACACCAATGATGTTATTGCCAAATGTTTGAGTTCTATTGCCCACTGTAATCGATTTCTGCGGCACTCTAATTTTAATACAGAACGTACTGCTGGTCGGCAAGCTTCCTGAAGTCTGTTTCAAAGTGTTTGAGTAGAAATCCGTTTGTCCGTTGCTCACTGGTGCCCAGTATTAAGCTTAAGAGCACTTTGGAAGCGGTGCTTCTCTGCAAAATTGGCAAAAAAAAAACGATCCTCCCGGACTGCCGTGCACCTTGGACGTCCCGATTTTAGCCTTTTTGACAATTTTCTGCCTGTTAATTCCGCTTTGGGAAAGATAAAGTCTTTCTGCTATGTAACGTTGCATTATTTCAGCTTCCAGCATCCCTGCTGTCATAGAGTGTTCGTCCGTACTAATATGCCTCCTCATAGCGTCTTATTATTAGTTCTGGCCTAATTTAAACAATAAAATGCTTTCTTTGTTTGTTATTACTGGAATGAACGGAAGCAGCTGTTGCAGAAAAAATACATAACCCGCGTAAGCGGGTTATGTAAATTTTTTCTGCAATAGCTGCGACCGTTCATTCCAGTAATAACAAACAAAGAAAGCATTTTATTGTTTATATTTATATATGTTTAAATATTCATTTAAAGTTTGAATAAAAAGGTTAATTATTGTATTAATGATGCAGACGTCTTTATATGTTTCATTGATGGAACAGCCACTGATCAAGAAATCTGTACTGGCGACATGCCAATGTAGTTCATGCAGTGATGAATGCAATGGGTTTTCTTCAGAAATAAAGGGGAAATTATTCAGTGGATGTAAATATATACTGATATTTTCTTACGTTCACTAAAGGATACCCTCTTTGATACTTCTATACTTCCATTGTTCCACTAACTTTTTTAACACCACGTACTTTCTTGACCAATATGTCTCAAAACTCATTAAACGCGTGTGACTTGAGTATCGAATTGTGTTAATGACATGTTTTTAAAACTACTTAAACCTTCTTGTCACATAAATTCAATGGTATGAAAATATTATTCTTGTTTCAAAATATGATCCCTAACTTATTTTGCCCAGTATATATTAGATTCAATCACAAGTAAATTATCTCATTAAAAATAATTATCAAATATGGGCCTACATGTTAATACATTTTTATTCCCAGATTAGAAATCTCCTTTTCATTATTTGTTTGAGATTTTTTTTGTTTGATTTTTCATGTTGTTTGTATGTTTTCTTTTAAGGGAGGAACTCTAATTTCTATATACCATTATATTAGGCTTGTTACACAAGAAATATCAGTTTTGTACATACATTGATGAAAAAAATATTTCATGGTTTGCAAACATGATTTTCATATCGGTACTTGATCATGGTGCTAACACTTGCGCAATATTTTGTACACTTTATGAAGTTTCTTTGCGCTTTTAAGAATACTTCCTCCAAGCATAATTGGAAATATAACGTTCTGGTTAGTCGATCGGCTTTCATTTTCCACTTCCAGTACAAATTAAACCCCTCTAATATTATCTGTCCATTTTGCGGTCATATTCTTTGCATTAGCAACGGTTTACAATGAATAGTAGACATGTGTATCTTATGAAAGTCAATCCACTTAGTTTCTTTTATTATTAAGAGACATATACATGTAGAACATATAAATTTGAAAAGAAGATTCAGACCCAATCTTGAAAAGATTGAGATTGTAAAACATTGGCATGCGTAGGCAAATGAGACCTACAAATTAGTCCGAGTTTTTGATGGTCTGCCAAGCAGAAAGTGTATAGCCAATAAGGTTCAAAATTCAAACTAGTCATTCATTACATAACTTACTGAGGCATGTGTTCTAGGTAGATGGAGTAATGGGTGCCGTACCGTGTTTGATCTCTTCACGAGTCGAAGGACCTATTTTACCCACCTAGACTTTACTGAACCTTTTAAATTAGATACTGACAAGTCATTATATGTCGTGGCCGCTGCTGTGCTACAGATTCAAAACGAGATTGTTGTTACAATGTACTCAGCAAGTCAGAAAGTATATATAGTGTTACCCAAAATGATCTGTCGTTACAGTGTCCATTTATTCAACATTTCAGACAATTTTTATATGAATATAGATTTTTCTCACTAAAGTGCTTATATATTTTAAGATCCAGAAAGCCAGTTGGTTCATTGTCTCGACATCATATAAATTTATGACATGTAGAAAGAGAGACAGGGGTCCAGAGTTTGTAAATTGCATAAAAATGCAGATGGACTCGGCAGTGGACCTTGTAATATGAGAACTACAGTGACATGACTTTGACAAAAAGGATATGTTTGCAAAACATGCAAGAGCGATAGAGGTCAAAGAGCAAGCAAATATTGAATAAACTGACTGGATTACTTTGCAGGAAGAATGTAAGGATATGAGACCGGTAAGGTCTTAGTCACAGAATGACAAGTGTATATACCAGTGTTCCGTGATATGTCATCGGAAATTCATAATTGTGAAGTCACTTTAGGCTCAGTGGAATAGATTCATAGTAAGCGTAGAATGTGGAAAACCGAAAAAAGTTATCATACAACATACCTGATAGTGGTCCCACGATCCCTAAGATGACATTTAAGGGCATAAAATGCATAATGCAAAAACTTAAGCTTGCTTAAAGATGACAAAGACACTTAATAAGATTAAGCAAAGCTTACACTCACTGGTCAGATTCAGAAAACTGATAAAAGACGATATACATGTGTCAGATTGCCACATCCAGAAGAAAAACTCAGCAAACGAAAAGAATTCCCATTTAAATCATCCTTTAAATGTTGGATTCCATTTGCTGCTACTCTCCTTTTTAATCGATATATAATTAAGAAATGAAGCTTATTTCAACTTTTGTTATACGATATAACATAACTTGGGACATGGCCTTCAAATTGAGTATATTTCAAATGTAACGTCAAGCACAGTAAGACGTTTTAGAGGTAATCATTGTGACGTCGGCGAATTATGTGATACAAAATGGATTAAATCTTTTACCCAATTAAATGACGTGATACAAATAAAATTCAATTATTCAAATGTAAATTCATTTTCATATGGATAATATATATCATAAATAGTATTATTATTATATTTCAAAGATTTGCGTAAATTGTTATTTGTGTAATTAGCCTTTGATTTGAAGAAACGTTAGTTTTCTTAAACTTTGAAAACTTTGAAAACTTGAAATTATCTTCTGCCAGATAAAAGTTTTCTGTAAATAAGATTATATCTACGACATTACCTTTCAGTCTTGTTCCTGGGTTTTAACTAAATGAAAAAAATATAACAACCACTGTACAAGGAG